AAGAAGTGCACAAACACAGCGCTGACTAACAACTGAATGTTTATTTTCAAGCGAACCAGAAAGTAAACACTGGGTGTGGAGAGGAAAAAACACAGAAGCCAAAAAAAGGAGGGAACCCGATAAAACAAGACACTACCACGCCATATCACTTTCACACACGTCTGCCACAGTTCTTGATAAAAAACACTTCGTCAGCCCCCAAGTTAACCGACGGAGCACTGACGCATTCTTCCTCCCCCCTTGATAAAATATAAAAGGCCTCATCAATCTCCCGGGCAGTCTTGTTTTTGTTTCGCGCCAAGATCGTCAACTCATTGAACAGGGGAACGCAGCCGCACCTACTACAATGTACCGCAAGGTGGCCAGAGGGTGAGGAACGGAGAGCAAGGGAATGCTCCCTCGCCCTCACGTTCACACACCTCCCTGTCTGTCCAATGTAAACCCGACCATATGTGAAGGGAATCTGGTTTACAACCCCTACTGCGCATGAGACAAACGGATCGCGGTGGTTAACATCACAGTGGTTATCCCTGTTCAACTCTCGGTTAACGGCGGAGCATAGTCGAGATAACTTCCGGGGCGCCGAAAACACCACAGGCACCTTATACTTGTTGGCCACGCGCTTGACTTGATGTGAGAGGGCGTGAATGTAGGGCACCACCACTGGTCTGGTTGTCGGTTTTTGCCTCGCCTTAGGACTGGTTCTACCTCCGAACACCTTAACAAGGGACTCAGCCACTCCCACAATCATCGCCACCGGGTATCCCGCAGAGGTCAGCCTAGACACCTGTGAAAGCAGGCTGTCCTCACACCTATGGTGGCATGACTTGAGCAGAGGGGCGCGCATACCCGACGTAGTGATCGCACGCTTCACAAGCTTTGAGTGCGCGGAGTGTATGGCAAAAGCCTCTTCTTAGAGCGTGGCTCATAGGCCCAACAGGTGTGTGACGGCTGAAGAGTGAGCCTCAGGTCCAAAAACTGCAACCCCTCTCCCGTAGGTGTCTCGTACTTAAACGATAACCCGGGGGAGCATTCCTTAAAGGAAGCCAAGACTTCCCCACACACACTATCCCGGTTGGGGCCCAGGCTATCTTTAAACACTACAAGGTAGTCGTCAACATACCGAAAAACTCTCAAAGTGGAGCTTTGAGTGGGAGTGTGGGAGTGGAGCTGAAGAGGGTAAAGGCCAGGGCAGTGAGGCTTTGCGGTCAGCTTGTGTTGGAGGGCCTCGGGAAGTCTGTGTCGGGGGCCAAGGGCCTCAATTTCGAGGTGTTCTTCTCCGTGAAGACCCATAAGGAGCTCAGGCCTTTTAGAGCTATCGTTACCCAGAGAGACTCCTGGCAGCTTCATGTATCTTCTTTTCTTCAGCGCCACTTGTGTGTGCTCACGTTGGATGATCCTTTTCGTATTTGCAATTCTGAGGCCCTTGTGGATTACCTCCGAGAAGACAATCCGGGAGGGTGTGATTTAGTGTCTCTGGATGTCGAGGATATGTTCTACTCAATACCCCATGGTGAATTGATGAAAGCGGTGGAAGAGTGCATTCAGTCCAGTGGGTCGGTGGCTTTTATGAACTCGACGGGTTTGGCGGTGGAATCCTTTTTGGAGTTGTTGACTTTTTACTTGAGTTCCACCTATATCACGTTTGAAGGCGAAATTTTCCTGCAAAAGAGTGGGATTTGTATTGGGTCGAGTGTGGCGCCTATCCTTAGAGATTTATATCTGGCGAGGTGTGATAGAGCCATAGCGGAGTCGTTGGATTGTCGGGTTTTGAGAGTTTTTCGGTATGTTGACGACTACCTTGTAGTGTTTAAAGATAGTCTGGGCCCCAACCGGGATAGTGTGAGTGTGTGGAAGTCTTGGCTTCCTTTAAGGAATGCTCCCCTGGGTTATCGTTTAAGTACGAGACACCTACGGGAGAGGGGTTGCAGTCTTTGGACCTGAGGCTCACTCTTCAGCCGTCACACACCTGTTGGGCCTATGAGCGACGCTCTAAGAAGAGGCTTTTGCCATACGGCTCCGCGCACTCAAAGCTTGTGAAGCGTGCGATCACTACGTCGGGTATGCGCGCCCCTTTGCTCAAGTCATGCCACCATAGGTGTGAGGACAGCCTGCTTTCACAGGTGTCTAGGCTGACCTCTGCGGGATACCCGGTGGCGATGATTATGGGAGTGACTGAGTCCCTTGTTAAGGTGTTCGGAGGTAGAACCAGTCCTAAGGCGAGGCAAAAACCGACAACCAGACCAGTGGTGGTGCCCTACATTCACGCCCTCTCACATCAAGTCAAGCGCGTGGCCAACAAGTATAAGGTGCCTGTGGTGTTTTCGGCGCCCCGGAAGTTATCTCGACTATGCTCCGCCGTTAACCGAGGGTTGAACAGGGATAACCACTGTGATGTTAACCACCGCGATCCGTTTGTCTCATGCGCAGTAGGGGTTGTATACCAGATTCCCTTCACATGTGGTCGGGTTTACATTGGACAGACAGGGAGGTGTGTGAACGTGAGGGCGAGGGAGCATTCCCTTGCTCTCCGTTCCTCACCCTCTGGCCACCTTGCGGTACATTGTAGTAGGTGCGGCTGCGTTCCCCTGTTCAATGAGTTGACGATCTTGGCGCGCAACAAAAACAAGACTGCCCGGGAGATTGATGAGGCCTTTTATATTTTATCAAGGGGGGAGGAAGAATGCGTCAGTGCTCCGTCGGTTAACTTGGGGGCTGACGAAGTGTTTTTTATCAAGAACTGTGGCAGACGTGTGTGAAAGTGATATGGCGTGGTAGTGTCTTGTTTTATCGGGTTCCCTCCTTTTTTTGGCTTCTGTGTTTTTTCCTCTCCACACCCAGTGTTTACTTTCTGGTTCGCTTGAAAATAAACATTCAGTTGTTAGTCAGCGCTGTGTTTGTGCACTTCTTCTACTCGTCCTTCGTCGGTTTTTCCTGCGCTGTTCCCACCTATTAAGATGCTTAACCAACTCGCCCAACTCTCTGCCGTGTTGAATATACATACATATCTGAACACACAGAGTACACACAACACAAGCAGAACACTACCCCACAGAACAGCAACAACGCAGCAACACCGGACTGCCATTTATACATTTAGTACGAACGTATGCTATGTTCGCACTAGCTGTATATATAGCAGTCTAATTTTTGAATCCGACTTTCCCGGTGACCCATCATTTGTCTCAAAAACACGGAGAAGCGGAGCAAATATTACTCGTACTTAATACATTATTTGAATTGTCTCTTGGAATAGCCCCCATCTCTTAATTCGACACCCTGAAAAAAGCAAATGTAGATCATTAGGCTAATTAACTAAAATTTATTGATTATCTTTTTAATAAGTTTGATGAATCACGTTGACAATGCAGTGATGACATGCAGTACACTGGTGCTGAAGATTGCAATCAAGCTATTGCTTGGTTGCAGTGTTCGGCGCCATTGTAATTTATTTTCACTTTTGGGGGGTAATAAATAATTTTAATTGTGGCACAAATATTTTAATGGCTTCTTCAAACAAACGATATTACTAATTTTCACGACTCGTTGCAACAGCAGAGAACATATCTTGGGTCATGGTTTGTCACCTCCATTACAAAAATTTAGTATTGATTTAATTTTCTAACGTGGAGTGTTTTTACTAAAAAGTAAGCGCCGGTAGTGATTTTCTATAGGCGTGGAAAGAAAATGTATTGGTTCTTGGCCTTTAGACTCGGGGCCATAAATTTTTCTATAGACGAGTAAAGACCAATAATTGGTTTCCAGTATTTAAACTCGGGGCCAAAGAATTTTTTATAGGCGGGTAAAAAACATTTCTTGGTTCGCTGTCTTTAGAAATGGGGCCATATAATATTCTATAGGCGTCTAAAGCAATTTTATTGGTTCTCAGTCTTTAGACTCTGGGCCATCAAATTTTCTATAGAGGGTTAAAGACAATTTATTGGTTCCCAGTCTTTAGACTGGTGTCCATAGAATTATCTATAAGCGGGTAAAGGAAATGTATTGGTTCCTAGTCTTTAGACACAGGGCCATAGATTTTTCTATAGCTGGCTGTAGCTGTCTTTATGGATTTCTATGGCCGACCATAGAGGGCCATAGGGGGTGATAAACAGCCATATAAATTTCCATAGACAACCATAGACCATTTTTGTATGGGTTTAGACCCTTTTTTTCTTCAGAGTACCAACAAATCCTAAATGTTCAGCATTCTACCTATACTTCTTTCACTTCTGAGCTGACAGTGCAATGGGAGCTCCGCATTCGCCGGGTCAATCAACCGCCTCCCTCTCACCAACTGACTCCGCTCTCTGCGCGCTAGTATGGGCGGGAGCGCGATTGTGTGGAAACACATAGACATAGAACTGGTCCAGCAAGGACGTTGATTCCTCCGCAGTGTCAGTTTAGGAATGAACTCGGTATAGAAACAAGCTCCGAGAAATAGGAGCTCAGGTGTATTCACACTTTCTTTGTGTCCCCCAGTAGAATTCTTCAATGCAGTGCTTTCTGAGGTGATCACGTAAGTTTGACTGGCAATTTTAGAACTGATTGTCATAACTTCTAAAGCTTCCAGAGCAGCGGACAGAAAAGTATTAGTCAAACAGGACAGACAGCAATAAGCATTTAAGTCGGCCGTTTGGTGTTTGTATAGTTTCGCCTATACTGCTTTCAGTAACATTCGCAATTGTACACTAAACCCGTTCCAACACTCAAATATTTGTTAATGTGTAGTGGGCGTGTTTTTAACTACAACACAAATTAAAAGTGCGTGGCCGTGCAGACACGTTTCTTTCCAAGTACATTTTAATGAGAGTACGCTTATTACTAAATTCGAGCCACAGGTTTCTTTGAGACGAAAATGGAAGGCGCCAAAGTAGCGCGATGGTTTCCCCGCAATGCGCTATATCCTATTTAGACGTGAACCAATGTAAATTAGCATTCGCGAGGGTTCCCGCTATTTAAACCGTTTAACTTGTTCTCTTCACCTTTTGATTCTTAAACAGGGCGACAGTGGAGGCCCGCTGGTGTACAAAACAAAGGATGGCCGCTGGACCTTGATGGGACTAATAACCGCCACCGAGATGCCATGCAACGTCACCCATCTCCCCATGTACTTCCTTAGAATTAAGCCCTTCATGGAGAACTTCATCCTTCCGTGCGTTCAAGATCCTAGTAATTGCACATGCAAGCCAGCAAATGATACAGAATCCTTCACTTATAATTAGTGTGTTTTAGAAAAATCTAAAAACCGGTCTTGTCTGTATGTTATTAAAACAAATACTGAGATCATATGTGCCACCTTCGGGCGAAATCACTTGTGTTGCATATGCGTTTAGCGTTTTACAGAAATAAAAAGGTATCTACTTTTTTGCATCTAGTCCCCATGTGTCCGCGTTAAGACTACATATTAAACACACGCTCCCAATATACCAAATTCATTAGAATAGCAACAGCAGAAACATGCTTCTTCTGCATGAGGTTCAAAGCGTCAAAGCTAGCTAATGCCGGACGTGCCGCAACGCTGACAGTGATGGAGGTCGACCACGACGACGACGGAGTGACGTGGAGCGCTGCTTTCGCTGGTCTCCAATAAGTAGGGATGCCGCGAACTTTTTTCGATTCGAAGTTTCGATTATCAAATCAAGCGGATCGAAAGGTTCGAAAGATTTTGAATTTTCGAACTTTCCATGTGGAGAAATTCGACGGAATTCGAATTTTCGAACTTGTTAAACTAAGAAGTTCGACGTTTTTCGAAAATTTCGACCTTATTACGCTGCAAAATTCAATGCTTGCCGAACTTTCGACCTTGATAGACTAAAATATTCGATGATTTTCGAACTTTTGATTTTCTTGCACTAAAACTTCGAAGCTTTTCGAACTTTCGAAATTCCTACGCTAAGAACTTCGATAATTTTCGAACTTTAGAACTTATTAATCTAAAAAAATCGAAAATTGTCGAACTTCCGATTCCGGAAAGTCAAAAGGTCGACGAACTTCGCATTTTTAGGGTAAAAGTTCGAAGTTCGTCGAACTTCGAAAGACGGGCGGGCGGTTTCATTTGGATTTAAGCAGTGAAGTACATTAGTATTTTTTTTCGCATTTTTACATTTGGTGCCCCATTCTTTGCCGAAGACAATGCCGTTCATTTCAATTATCTGGCATGCTTGGCTTTAAAGAAATAGATTCCCGAAGGAGCAAAGAAGGACGACGGGTTTTTGACAATACTCGTTTGTGACATATTTGAAGCGCGCTATAGCCACAGATATTTATGGTAGAGATGTTAAACTTTTTTAAGATCTATGTAGTAAGTGTCGTCTTAAGATACGATTACTGTTGTTCAAGACGAGTTTCGAAGAAATATCCAAATATGTATCTACAGGCAATTATGCCCTAAACTTAATAATTTTTTCCGTCGAAATTGTTTGAGGTATCGAATTTAAATTACCACCACAGACAGTACATATCATTACTATCTGCAGAATACAAATTAATGTATCTATTGTTCTTTTCACGTTGAAAAATAAATTAACTCAGGGAAAAAGATTTCTAATATTGTTCAAATTCGACACGTCATAAAAAACACAAAAAATTTTTTTTTTTTTTTTCATTTCACTTTTTTGGGACGTGTTTCTTTCAGCCTGTACACATTTTGGTAGGAGAAATTTGTTTCGTAGTTTTGGGCGTCTGAATACGCAAGACTACCACACTTCCGGCGGACTCTTGATAGCTTTTTTTTTTTTTTCTCCAGCTTTTTATTTTTTTTTTGCATTTATTGTTTTGTTTATTTATTTATTATTTCTTACCAAGGACACAGTTATTTAGATCGAAAAGACATAGCTTTGAATTTCGAACCACTAAGCATGTGACGAGTAGTGCCTTCTGACAACGACTTTCTAACAATGACCATCTACGCGATCTTTTATGCAGTGAAGAGCGACAGTAGCTATACATATGCATAAATAATTTCAGATTAAAATAAGCTCGACCACGCCCTTTTTCCCCGTATTGTTTTCTTTAACAGTCCGAAATGTCTGGGGGGGGGGGGGGGAGTTAAAGACTGGAGGCCCCCCCCCCCCCCCCCCCGTTTTTCCTCTTCCGACGCTCCTCGACCTCAAGTTGTGTCGGCTTCTGTGCTTTTTGCTCGGCGTTTCTTCTGTCTCCGAAAATAAGCGTCCGAAACAATTACAAACTAAAAAAATTGTCAAGGTGCAAGCGAGCTGGTGTCTGTTGATGATGATGCAAAATCCCGAGACTGGGGAAGAAATAAAAAAGGGGACAGGACAAAGTCTCAAACTCAGTTGAGTTGAGTTGGAGACGTTATTCCTGAGCTGAGTTTTCAGCTGAGTTGAGTTTGAGACGTTGTCCTGAGCCGAGTTTGAGACGTTGTCCTGTCCCCTTTTTTCTGTCTTCTTACCCTTTTTCTTTCAGATTCCATTTCCAGTTTCAAGATTTTGCATCATGTACAAACTAAACTTACTACATACCAGCGTCACTCGAGCGGCGTTCGAGCGGATTACTACCAGCGTGCAAGGGGGTGGGGAGGCAGTCTGCCAGATCGCTTCAAGGTTTTTCTCAGGCTCAGTGACCCTCAACCACCTGCCTGCCCCTAGCCGTTTCGAACTGGATGAGTATCATTAAACGGTGCGTTCGTGTGACCACTACTACGAGATGCACGTTAAACCCCCCCCCCCCCCCCCCCCCCCCCCCCGTGCTGGCGGCCACAATTACTGATATAGCGACCCTCACGGTCAGCACAAGGCGGTCTACAAAAGAAAAAGAAGAGGCGGGGCTCGCGCGTCGCGGGCACATAAAAATTAGTTCGAATCCTACCGCTGTCTGTACTGGTTGCTCTCAATCCAGCTCCTACAGATTTGGTGACCCGGACGTGGGTGCACGACTCAAGGTCTCGGCTCATGAAAATGTGTTGAGCACTCCTCTGAGCGGGAAGAACTGGTCGCAGCTCACGAATGGTTTGTCGAAGGTCTGCGACATAGCTGCTTGGACCGGTTCACTCGGTGGCCCGAGGCAATCCCTGTCCCCGACATGACAGCAGAGACAGTCGCGAAAGCCTTCCTCGACGGCTGGGTGTCCCGTTTCGGCTGTCCTACAGTCGTAACTACCGACAGAGGACGACAGTTCCACTCCGCCCTTTTCGCGGCTTTTGTCTCCATCCTGGGCGTCCGACACATTCACACCACCGCCTATCATCCATCAACTAATGGCATGGTGGAACGACTCCACAGGCAGTTGAAGGCAGCCCTCGCCACCTACGAGACGCGCGAACGTTGGGCCGACCATCTCCCCCTCGTCCTCCTGGGCCTTCGCTCGGCGCTCAAGGCCGACCTCGGCTGTACGACAGCTGAGCTTGTATATGGTTCCCCATTGCGCCTCCCTGGCGACTTTTAGAGCGCAGCTCTTAGGGGCCCGTTCCCGGCTTGAGCGGCGTCGCCGTCGGCGTCGGCGTCGCCGTCGCCGTCGGCGTCGGCGTCGGCGTAACCGCAACCCTCGTAACCCTCGTGAGGGTTACGAGGGTTACGAGGGTTAATCTCATGAGGGTTACCCTCACGAGGATCACGAGGGCCACGAGGGTTACTTACCCTTGTTACCCTCACGAGGGTTACGAGGGTTAGTTACCCTCAAAAGGGTTACCTTCACGAGGGTTACCCTCACGAGGGTTACTTACCCTTGTAACCCTCACGAGGGTTACTTACCCTTGTAACCCTCACGAGGTTTACGAGGGTTAGTAACCCTCGTGAGGGTAACCCTCGTGAAGGTAACCCTTTTGAGGGTTACGAGGATCAGTAACCCTCGTGAGGGTAACCTTCACGAGGGTTACCCTCACGAGGGTCACGAGAGTTATGAGAGTTACCCTCACGAGGGTTACTTACCCTCGTAACCCTCACGAGGGTTACGAGGGTTAGTAACCCTCGTGAGGGTAACCTTCACGAGGGTTACCCTCACGAGGGTCACGAGGGTTATGAGAGTTACCCTCACGAGGGTCACGAGAGTTACCCTCACGAGGGTCACGAGAGTTACCCTCACGAGGGTCACGAGAGTTGCCCTCACAAGGGTTACTAGGGTTACCCTCACGAGGGTCACGATGGTTACCCAGGTCAAGTGACCCCCCCTGGGGTCACGTGACCTGGGGATACCCCCCGAGGTCACGTGACCCCCCGTTGACGTCATAGCCACTGATGACGTCACCGGCATCCGCATCGTCATCGTCATCATCACTGATGACGTCCCCGGCATCCGCATCGTCATCATCATCACTGATGGCGTCATCAGTGACGCTACTGATGACGTCATCGGTATCGTCACGTGGCCCCAGGTCACGTGACCCCCCCCGACGTCACGTGACGCCCCAAGGTCACGTGACTCCCACAAGGTCACGTGACCCCCAAGGTCACGTGACCCCCCGCCCCCCGAGGTCACTTGACCCACCCCCCAGTACCCTTCCCTCCTCCTCCTCAAGAGCTGCGCTCCAATTCGGCGTTACAGGGAGTTGTAAACGGCTTTCACTTTTTTTTTCTCTCCAACCTCTCCCGACTCTCAGCACGAACCAAGCAGCTATGTCGCAGACCTTCGACAAACCATTCGTGAGCTGCGACCAGTTCTTCCCGCTCAGAGGAGTGCTCAACATATTTTCATGAGCCAAGACCTTGAGTCGTGCACCCACGTCTTCTTACGGCACGATCGTACTCGTCGACCTTTTACACCAGCTTACGATGGACCTTTCAGAGTGCTCGATCGCCAGGTCAAGACCTGCACTCTCGACATCAACGGTCATTATGACGTTTTGGCTACAGACCGCGTCAAACCGGCCTACCTGGACACTGCCCTGCCTACGCCCGCCTCTGCCATCGCCACCCCACCGCCACCTTCGGCGTCTGCACCTAGACCCCAGCGCGTCACTTGGGCTCCTCCGGCACCTATCGCTCTACAGGGGGGAGCCCTATAGCGACCCTCACGGTCAGCACAAGGCGGTCTACAAAAGAAAAAGAAACGCCGGGCCCGCGCGTCGCTGGCACATAAAAATCAGTTCGAATCCTACCGCTGTCTGTACTGGTTGCTCTCAATCCAGCTCCTACACTGATCTGCACACGTCACTCTGCACTGGCAAGTAATCCAGCACATCCGGGACACTCGTCGTCTCATTTAATTGCCTGACCAACTTCGCGCAATCTGAATATCACACCCGAACATTTATAAACCTGATTTCGTAAAAACCAGTGAGGCGTGAACACGTTATTTGAAACTGAAACTGGGGCGGAACATGAAGACCGGACTTCGAACTTTGCGCACTTGGACTTTAAAGAAAGTCGAAATTTCTTTTTTCAAATTTAGCGCTAAAAGAGATTCGAAACCT